AACATCAAGCCAATCAACCAGAGCATGATAACTTTGTCCTATGCCATCAGCACTGTTTCAATAGTACACTGGCCATTTGGGAATCTCCAGTGCCTTGGCTTCTCCATGTACATGCTGGTGGAATGAAGAATGGCCCTTGTCCTTTTCCTTTTGCTATTTGGGTGTGTTTCCCAGTCCAACAGCAACACACAGTTTCAACTGGAGAGAAACGTGGATGAGACTATGTTGAATTTCCCGCACACACTCTTGTCCTTCCAGAGTTATAAGCATCTTCAAGAAAACCTAAGAGTTTCTATATCATTTCATGGAAGCCTGGCTCATCTGCTGCATTAGATGTTCCAAGTTGGTCATTTGCTCAATAATCTAAGTGAGATACGGAGTTGGACACCCAATGGCCGGGTTTTCAGAGATGTCCTTAATTGTCTGTTCCACTTGGATCCAAAACACATTTTGCACTCAGTGATGCTCAGGAAAGCAAAACCTCATCATGGTTCTTAAGAAGGTCTCAAGAAGAATGCCAATGTGTTGTGCAGCTCCGGTATTAGCCCAAGACAGTGCTTGGGCTGGAGAGGGAATGAACCAGTCAGCAGAATACTTGCATGGTTTCCATGCCAGGATAGAACTGGTTCTTCTGCCTAGATCAGCTTTCCTTTACACCAAACAGAAGACATGTTGACAGTCAAATCTGCAAGAGGGCAGAGCAAAGGGTAATTTGGAGATCCTCTTCAGCCAGACTATCATCTTCTACAACGTGTATGCAGTTTCACATTTGAAGTAAACAACACAGCAAGCAGTTCAACTAACACAGAAGAGGTCATTAGGCTTCTGCTGAAGGCTTTCGAACATGAACAGATCAGTGAGCTAGTGTGAGAGGGCCTTGGATATCCAGCATATTGCTTTTCTTTTGTCAGATGCCATCCATAACAGCGCAAGTACTGGGACAGAAGGATGAGATGGGTACTGAGGCCTTCATTTAGCTCCATCTTTGACTTCCGGTGATCATTTAGCTCCATGTTCCAGACCCAATACCTTAAGTTCAGAGTGCGGAACTTGCAATTCCAAGCAAAGCAGAGGGGCATCAGCAGATGAACTGGATTTGTGGTGCTGTTGGCTGGGTCTAGGGCAGAAGCATGGTCCCCAGAAGGGGATAATAATTTACCATCCGCTTGTGAGTTTTTGACCTTTCCCGTTGAGGAATTCCTCCTATTGAGGTGGTCATATGTACCTGCTGTCTCATCTTGGTGGAAGTAAGAGCAGAACTTATCTATGTGATGTTGCTTTGTGCATTGTGAAAGTGGTAGTCTTGCCTGTAAGTATCATAATAAACTCAGAATCTCAATTTCAGCAGCACTGGGTTAATAATGGAGCACCCAGAGCTGTCTGATGGATAGAAATCACTCAAACCAGCCTTTTGCTTCTGCAATAGCCAGTGATCCTTCTTGTTTACTGTTCCTACAGTACAGTCAATCTGGAGCTTTTTTCCTTTGAAAAAAAACCACCACAATTTCCAACAGTATCTCCCCTGAGTATTTTCAAAAAAATTCAGTAGGCACCTTCATTAAAAGCTTCTATAACTTTCAGTTTTGCTACAAGAACTGGCCCACACTTTGGGGGGACCAGATTGCTACTTAAAAACACACGTACATACACACAACTATCAGCCTGATCATATGCAGGTTTACATGGAAGTAAGCCCCAATGTGTTTAGTGGGGCTTACCCCAAGTAAATATGCATAGGATTGCAGCCATAAAGTATTAAATCCAAAAAACATAGTAGATTGAGTAGATCTCTCACCCTTGTGAGAAATCGAGGCAAAGCTACTGAGATATCTTCCCCTGTAAGCCCAGGGGGGTTGTTTTCAGAGGTACTTGTCAACCTTGCCCTAACCATTCAGTATATTTGTATTGTGTTTGTATGTTTTATAACTTACTTTCCGTCTGCTTAAATTCAAACAGTTCCGCATCCTGCCACTTGGACTGCAAATTCAGCCCTGAGGCAAAGGCAGCACATGCAAGAACAAAAATTGTTACAATAGGCACAAATGCAGTGCAGGTGGATGCCTGACTGACGCAAGGCGGCTCAGCCAGGTCCTTGCACAATTCCTACTTGTTTTACTAGGCCTTCTGCAGGAGACTAGAGTATACTTGAAGACAGCAGAAGATACACTATCTGATGCCTTGGTTAGAGATGCTGAGCAAGTGAAATTGCTTATAAGATGAGAAAGCAAAACACGAATCTTTAAATATGTTTTAAACTTAACAGTCACGTCAAATGCACCATTTGTAGTTTCGTTCCTTCTACAACTTTGGCAGAATCACCATTTCCCTCTTTTTCCCCAGCCAGTATACCATGTGTGTCAAAAAGTGATTGCTCAAATGAAATAGGAAGTGGCTAGTGGGCACTTCCTGTCAGGAGGGAAGATGTCTATATGGATATTGCAGAGTGAGATCTGTGAGCAGATGGCAGGCTACATAATGTCTGAAGATGCTACATTCCTTTAAAAACTTAGTGTTGACATTTTTCCTCTTTTTTTTTTTTTAACAAAAACAGGAAAAATAGGAGAAAAGCTCTGCCTCCTCCTTCAAAGATACAGAAATAAAATACTGATCAGGGAGGAAAAACAGAAACCTACTGAGTTATGCTACTTGCAGTGACTTCAGTGAGTCAGGCTGGAGGTGTTCCCCCAACGGGCTTACAGATGAAAGATGGCTGATTCTTCGGCAAAGGCCATTTGATTTGAGGTGACGGAACCGATCTCAGAGGTGGCAATCAGTTGCAAGTGGTTGTCTTGGTTTCCGATTCCCCTGTAGAGCTTGTTCCTTTTCTTCCCCATATAATTCCTCCCCCACCACATTCTGCAGTTTCCTCTTCCAACATCGCATGCCTTCAGAGTGAGCAAAGGGGCACATCTAAAATCATGGGAAGTAGGTTTCTCTCCTTGAAGAAGAAGGAGCAGGAGGATGAGTGGTGGGAGAAGGAAAGGCATGGGATATTTACAAACCATGCTATCAGAGTGGTGATAACGGCATTCTTTCTTTGTTTCTTCCGTCTTCCTTTCTCTTTCTCTCTCTTGCCATCTTTAAGAACAAGAGGGGCTTGTTGAACTCTCTAGAGAGGACTGGGAGAGACGTCGCGTCAGGGGTCCAATCGTGGAGTCCGCCAACGAGGAAGTGGGGAAGAGCTTGTACCAGCCCATCACCATGCTGGACAAGTCCAGCTCTTCCAGAACGATCTGCGCCATTCCCATGAAGCATTTGTGGTCCATGCGGCCATAATCCCCCCAGACGATCACCTAAAGAATAGAGATGAAGGAGCTGAACATCTAGCAGAACCTGGGAGGGAGGGGGAGGGGCTGCCAAGGGTGCCATAGGAAGGATGGGGGGGATGTTGACTTCCACCCCTTCCCTTGTGTTTCAGATCATATGTGACTAATTCTCAGGAGCATCTATGACTCTAAGCAACTCACTGGTTGTACACTAGGATGATTTCAGCAAGGTGACCTGGCTGCAGATTACCCATGCTTTGATCACATCCAGGCTGGACCTGCTAAAGAGTTTTCAGATATGATGATATGAGCAGAACAAAGACTTTATTATTGTATTTTAAAATGTTTTACAATTAATCTCGAGTATTTCCAAGGGCAGGTCTTTCTTCTTCCTTCCTCCACACAGTAATCTGAAATGGCACCCCTGGCAACTGCGTTCCCTCAAGGCTGGAAAGCATAAGCAGAGACCACTGGAAAGGGGATACCAAGTATGTGCCTCAGCTTGGAAGAGCCACTGGGCACAGTCACCTCCTTTTTACTTTTACCTAAATTTACTTATTTAAAAATCTATTTACTTATTAAAAGAAACCTTGTGGTCATTCACCTGGAAATGACATTCTGCATGCCTGAGTTGCATTGCCTTGAGCTGGCTGGATTTTGTGAAATATACCTTTTTAATTCCCTTTGGGTTGCTCCTAATACTGATGTTGTTAATATTGCCTTAATTCTTTTTTAAAAAAAAATAGTTTTAAGTTGCTATTTTCTCTTTTTGACAATCAGATTGACCACAATTGGATTCACACACAAAGGATAATAAGGTGGGGGAATGCTGGGTTGCCAAGTCACTTAATTCTAATAGCGATGATGTCACCCGGAAGTGATGTCATCACGTTGGGCACGTCACTGGCTGACGCTCTGGCAATCAGCCTGTAAACTCTATGGTACCATAGAGTTTTCAGGCTGATTGCTAGAGTGTCAGCCGGCGACATGCCCGGCGCAATAATGTCACCTCCGGGTGACATCATTGTGTCAGGCATATCGGCCTGAACCGGGCACTTTGGGGGCGGGTTTCCCCCCGCCGGCCTTTTCCGGTCTGGTGGATTGGGGACCCTTTAAATGGGGGAACCTCCGCCCTCCCGGGGGACCTGGCAACTCTAGGAAATGCAGAGTACATTGAATGGACTATACTACCTTAGCCTGAGGGAACAGGCTCCCTTTGGCAAAGCCTCCCCGGTCTATTCTGCATTTGTTCATTTACAACAGGGGTCTCCAACCTTTTTGACCCTGAGATCACATTTGGAATGCTGACAGGGCATGGTGAGGGCAGCAACAAAATGGCTGCCACAAGAGGTGCAGCTAGCCACAGAATGATTGCCACAGCTTAACTCCAGTAACACAGTGCAGAAAAATCTGCACAGCCAATCAAATCTCCAGTAGTCAATCAGAAGCCTTGCTGGGCAAATGCCCTATGTGGTTCCACCCCGTTCCCAAAAACACTTGGCAGTCACAATAAAACAATAAATAATACACTTATATTAAGGTAATTAAAAACACTACAGAAAATTATTTCCTAGAATTTCCACAGGTATGGCGATCCGTGATTCCTGCCCAAACTACTCTGGGGGTCTCCTGTCCCCTGGGATCAGGACAGGTGGGGCTACTGTGGAAGGCAGGAAAAGATGGAAATCAATCCCGCCTTCTCCCTCCTGTAGAAATTCTAGATGGGATCCAAGCCACTAATATCCTCTGCAGTAAAAATAATAGTAAAATTTTAAAAGCAATTTGTAAACAGCAAGCGGGTTGTAGAGAGGGGGAAACTGGGGATTAAATATGAAAACTGGGGTTGCAATACCCTTAAGAGAGGGGAAAATATCTGAAAGCAAAGAGGAAAAGGAAGTCAGGAGAAGTCCAGTACAGGCTCTATTCCGGAGGCTTTACAAAGCCACCTCCTTCAAAGAGGCTTTTGAGAGCCATTGCACTGAAACTAAACAATGTTTGTGCAGTTGCGATCTGCAGCAGAGAGGAATGTAGGGCCTTTTTGTCTTGTTTCTTGCTTTCTTTTAAACATTTGTTTATAATGCCTTAAAAGGTTTGGCCAGTGTGCTTTACACCTGCTTTCCTAAGCTACCTTGAGCCAGAGGTGAAAAAGGGTTTTAAAAAATATATTTTAAAAACTAAATTGTCCTAATTGATGGGAAGGACAGTATGGGAGGAGGCAACCCTTAGGGTCCCAAAGGACCCTCAGAGTATGAATTGTGTCCATAAACAAATGGGTAGCCAGCAATGTTCCCTCTAAGGTGTGGAGACTTGTGAGCAAAAACTCTACTTTGTGAGCTACTGGCTTTAAAGTTGTGAGCGAGCGATGTGGCTGCTGCATAAATTAGTTTGCTCTAGAGCCATCCTTCCTGAGCTAAGACAAAAATGTGTGAGCCGGAGGCTAAAAAACTGTGAGCTAGCTCACACTAGCTCAGCTTAGAGGGAACACTGGTAGCCAGTGCATCTTTCAGCGCAGTGGGGGTATGATCCTATATCCAGCTGCTAACAGCAATCTGGCTGAAGCAAGGTTGGACCAACTGAAATTTTCAGGCAGTTTTCAAAGACAGTCCCATGTAGCACACATTGCAGTAGTCTAATCTGAATATGATCAGAACATGGGTCACTGAAGCTAGATCACCGTTTGAGAAGCAGCAGTAGCTAGCATTATTAGTCACAGTTGTAAAAAGTGCTACGTGCTACAGAGGAGAGCTAAACTTCCAACTGTAAGCCAGGATCCAGTTGCACCCATAGGCAATGAACCTGCCCCTTCAGAGGGAACTCAGGTTGCCAGGTGCCAGGCAGCATGGGCAATCTCCCACTGCTACACCGAAGTACCCAAATACAACCAATTCAGTGGCAGGAGGGAAGGGGGGGGGAATGGCATGACCAATGCGGGGACATCATTACCAGGTGAAATCCTGTGATGCCACAGCCCCCCCCCCCCCATCTCACAATGCTCTTGGGATTCCATCAATCTCTGTGGTCTTTACCATAGCATTCTAAGAGTGTCACAGGAGGGTGTGTGTGTGGCCCTGTGACACCACTGCTAGGTTTTTGCCCAGAAATGACATCATAGCATCAGTGACACTGTTTCCCAGGACTCCACTGCTGGAAATCTCCTAAGAGTTGCCAACAGCAGGCTGGCAACCCTAGAGGGGTGGGATGATTCCTCAAAGTCCTTGAGAGGCTTTGTTATTGACCAATAGTACCTCAGTCTTGTCTGGACTGGGCTTCTGTTTCTTGTCCTGGCACATTACCTTCTTCTGAGTATTTTTCAGGACTTACACTGATCTTACCCAGCTCTGCTGTTAAGGACAAATACATCCACATACCGGTGGCACCTCCCTCCAAACCCCCCAGGTGATCTCTCCCATGTAAAGAACTCCCTTCAAATTGGAAACCAACAGTGCAGATGGGGGGGCAGATAGAAGCTTTGCTGTGTTCATTTTCTATTTACAGGGAGCTTTTTCAGTGCAAAGGAGTATTTAAAGCTGGAATCCACCACCTGTGGTCTGAGGTAGGGTTGCCAACTCCAGGTCGGGAAATTCCTGGAAATTTGGGGGATGGAGCTTGTGGAAGACAGAGTTTGAGGAGGAGAGTCCGTCCTCCAAAGCAGCATTTTCTCCAGGGCGAATCAATCACTCTAGTTTGGAGATCAGTTGTAATTCCAGAAGATCTCCAGGCCCCACCTGGAGGTTGGCAACCCTAGTCTGAAGTGGCACAGTATTTCTGATTGCCTCATTCCCCTGCATGTCTGAACCAGGCTAAAGGTAGGATTGCAAATGCCATGGAATGAGATGGTAAAATCAACTGCACCCATTCAGATTCCCAGGAGGAGGATACCAGTTTTGAATACTCTCCCATGTACAACCCCCCCCAAAAAAACACCAGCAAACAAAAAGCTAGCAGGTCAGGGGAAAGATTTTGTTTACAAGGAGTTCTTAACATAAAGGCCCAATGAAAAGTGATATTCTGTACCTGCAGCCTGAAATGGTGCACCCAGTATTACCACTTGGAGCTATGGAGCTTCACCCTTCACTAATGCCTTTTCTTCCCTCAGGGTATTTTTAAAGAAAACCTTGTATTCTTGGGGAACCATGAAATAATTATAGTTTCCAACTGCCTCCAGGCTTATGAAGGCCCTTGATAATCAGGGGCCTTTTACCTCAGAAGACATTCTGCCCATGGGCCCAGCCCTGGATTAGTAGAACATTCCCTCCATAACAGGCAGCCTGGGATGAGTCAGCTTGCCCAGAGGGCAGATGGGAAATGCTACCACCTGGATTGGGCCTCAGAACTACTGGGCTACGTGGGCAGCAACAGGAATCCTCTTACCCTTTACAGAGGAGGAAAGCATTCACCTGTAGCACCTTGCCCTGGGGACCCTCATCGAAGAGCAGGGCCTGCTGGTACAGGGGGTCACAGGTCTTCTTGGCTGTCTTTGTTTTCTTCTTGGCCAGGCAGGCCCCATTTTCCAAGAGGTAAACCTTGACATAGGAGGCTGCATCGGCAGAGAGACAGAAACGCAAGCCCTCAATTACAGATTCAACAGGATCAACCCCACATCATTTAATTGCCCCAGACAAGACACACTCATCCTAGTGTTGCCAACCCCCAGGTGGGGACTGGAGATCTCCCAGAATTACTACTAATCTCTAGACCACATAAATAACTTATTATCTATTTAAAACATTTATTGCACTTCTGGAAACAATGGCTGCTTTGGAAGGCAGACGGTAGGCATTATACCCTACCAAGGTCCCTCCCCTCCCTACACCCTACTCCTCCAGGCTCCACTCTCAAATTTCTAGGTATTTCCAGGCCCAGAGTTGGCAACCCTAGGCCATCCCCTCTGGGCCCATGCTGCTGTTGACTTGGCTTGGATCAGAGTGACAGTGGCACAGGTAGGGTTGGCAATTCTGGGTTGGGAAGTTCCTGGAGATTTAGGGTGGATGGGGGATCAGGGTTTGGGGAGGGCAGGGACCTCAGTGGAGTCTAATGCCATAGAGTCCACCTTTCAAAGCAGCTGTTTTCTCCAGCGCAGCTGATGTCTGTAGCCTGAAGATTAGTTGTAATTCTGGGAGCTCTCCAGGTCCCACCTGGATGTTGGCAACCCTAGACATAGGCCCAAGAGAGGATGCCAGTCCCTTTCTGTGCTGCTGAAGGATGAGAGAGAGAGAGGAGCTCCAGTGGGGCATTGGCACCCCCCTCATCATGCTGACACAAGCACTCGCTTGGGTGGATTCGTGGGAGAACCAGCCAAAAATGGTAGCCAAATCTCACAACTGGTTTTTGAGGCTTTCCAGTAGATGCATGACACTGGAGGCTCTGTATGCATGCATATTTGCGGGGCAAGGTGAAGCAATACTTGAATGTTTTTAATTAGTCACTGGGATGTCATGGTTAAATATAAATTCCCTGCTCAAGAGGATGCATTAACAAAGAGACAAGGGCTGTGGCTCATGGCACTTGATTATTTGCATTTCTTGTTTTTACTGCATTGTTTTTCCAATTTCCATAATCCAGTTTTTGCATTTCTAATGCTATATTGATTGCATTGTTTTCTGGCTCTGTAATCCCATCTTATCCCACTGTTTGCAATACGTTTTGTAATGTTCCTATGAATAACAACTAAGTGCCATCGTCACACCTGATTTATGGTGACCCCCCATGGGGTTTTCAAGGCAAGAGACGTTCAGAGGTGGTTTTGCCATTTCCTGCCTCTGCGTAGCAGCCTTGGACTGCCTTGGGGGTCTCCCATCCAAGTACCAACCAGGGCCGACCCTGCTTAGCCTCTGAGATCTGATGACAGCCAGCTAGTTTAGGCCATCCAGGTATGGACCTGATGACATGACAGACTTGCTAAAGAAGAAACTGGAAGGAAGGATCTGGGAGGAATCTGGAAAATAAATCCCTCTGTAACATTCTTGTTTTTCACAAAGAAAATCTGAATGTATTAATTTCCCAGCTGTTTCTCTCCAAGTCTGATCTCATCTACATATTTTATCTGCATCCCAAGGAAAGAGAGATCCCCTGTTTCATCAAGTTCAGCATTGCTAAACCGGTGAAGTGCAGTAAGCATCTAACAGTGAATAGTTAGACCCTTCTAAGCATGTTGACTTCAGTGGCCTGAGAAAGGTGTAAATCGGTTTAGGATTGCTCTGTAAGTCCCTGCCACCCCCATTTCATTAAAAAACAACAACACAGGAACAGAATGGAGTTTTTACCAATATTTTTACATATCCCCACTCCTGTTACTTTAGCAGTTGAACATGCCCCTCAGCATGTTCAGCCGCATGGTCCATAACCAGTTCCAGCCCAAGACACATCAGCAACTGCACTGAGATGTAAACTACAAATAGCATCTCCTGTCACTTTTCTTTTCCTGCAAAGCCTCCATTCATTCAAAGGGCGCTTGCCCAGGAGAACATCCAAGTGGACTGGGCCCCAGGTCCATCTGGCTCCCACTTTGCCACCTCCTGATTCAGCTATTTGCAGAGCGTCCCTGCCGGCCCCTTTCAGTGCTGCCACCCTCCCTGTGATGTGTAGCTTCAAGGGGAAATGGGTATATTCTGTGGGGTGCTTCCAGGTTATGCAGAGCAGTGGTTACGTCCAAGAACATCACCACTACATGGTGCAAAATGAGACAGCAGCACCCAAAAATTTCTGGCCATGTGCAGGAAATTCCATATCAGGTGGAGCAATGTGGAAAGCTGGAACTCCATTATGGTACATGATGCAAAAATGGTCAGACATTGGAATTTGGAGGGGACTTCAACATTCAGGTTTGCTATAGAATTCTCAACTATGACATATCTGGCACCAGAATGAAAGATGTGATACCTCTGGCAGCGGCAGGGGGCAAGCCCCTCTTTGCCAGTTTTGCTACTTTACACCTGATTCCCAGTCTTCTTTATCCCCTATAGGTATCTGATGTGGCTACTCACCGGGGATAGACTTGGATCCTAGCTTTGGAGTGAGGCCACGTGCCTCGATCACTTTGACCTCCAGCTGCCCATTCCTGTCCATCATCCCAATGTGGACATCACCTGAGAGAGGGAAGGGAAGACAATGTGGGATCATCGGCACAATGCGTGGGGCAAAGTGGCAACTTGCCTTCTCTCATCGAGGTACCCCCCCCCCAATGCAGAATACCATCTGGAACTTCCATAGGACCTGCACACATAACAGGTGCTGTGCAAAAACAGGTGTACTTCCTGTGATGTTCCCAACTTGCATGGTTGCCATGTTGTGTAAACGGAGGCAACCCATGCATTTGTGTGCATCAGCAGCTTCTGTGTGTATGAACAAAAAGCATAGGAAATACAGGCCTGGATGCAATAATTGTGTTCCACATGCACTTTCACTCCAACCATGGTGGAGCTTACTTATACTTCCATTGGCTCAACATCAATGGATTTCAAGAAGGCTGTGCATGGGGAAGTACCAGCAGCAGAGGACATGAGCTGTGCTGCAGCCAGAGCAAAGTGTGTGAAGAACACAGTCGTGAGAGCCGTGCTGCAGATCCACATAATACAGTGACCACACATATAGAGTAGAACTAAGAGGGGGGAGGTGCTCCTGGTATACATGGATGCAACATCTGAAAATGCCTTCTCTTTAGAAAAGAATGTAACAGTGCTGAAAGAGATACAGTCAGAAATCTACTAGAGGGTTCAGAGGGCCAACTATGTGAAGAGCAACTGCAGTGACTATCAGGCACTCAACAAGATTACAGTTCATGATCAGTACCTGAAATCTTGGACCACCTTAAGGGGGCCTAGATCTATACCAAATTCGATCTTCAGGGTGCCTACAATTTGGTGCATATATGGCCAGGGGACGAATGGAAGACCGCGTTTGGCACCCACTACGGCCAATATGAATACCTGGTGATGCCATTCAGGTTGACCACTGTCCCCGTTGTCTTCCAGAGGATAATGAATCACATTTTCAGGGACCTGCTTGACCACTTTGTCATCATTTATTTAGACGATATTCTGATTTACTCTCCTAGCCCTGCCCAGCACGTCGAGCATGTCCGCCAGGTGCTGCAGTGCCTACGAGCCCATGGCCTCTATGCCAAGCTCAAGAAGTGTGACTTTGACCTGTGCTCAGTCGAGTTCATCAGCCACATTGTGTCACCTCAAGGGTTCCTCGTGGATCCAAAGAAAGTGGAAGCCATCCTGACTTGGCAGGCACCTCGAAACCGAAAGGACCTGCAACTGTTTCTCAGCTTTGCCAACTACTACTGGCAATTCAGCCCCTGACCCGGCTCCTCCGGCCCAAGGAACCCTTCCACTGAACCCCAGAGACCAACCAAGCCTTTACATCTCTGAAAGCCCACTTTACTACGGGTCCGCTCCTGCGCTTTCTGGACTCCCAGCTGCCCTTCACCATCAAGGCAGATGCTTCCAGCATCATGCTTGGAGCAGTCCTGTCCCAATGAGATGACCCTTCCCAACCTCTTCAGCCCTGTGCCTAATACTTTCACCAGCTGTCAGTGGCTGAGAGGAACTACAGCATCTGGGAGAGGGAACAGCTCGCCATCAAGACTGCCTTCAAGGTCTGGAGGCATCACCTTGAAGGAGCCCACCACCCAGTCCAGGTGCACACAGACCATCGCAACCTGAAGCACCTCCAGATGACTTGCTGCCTCAACCAATGGCAGATCTGGTGGCCCCTGTTCTTCTCGCACTTCAACTTCCAGATCACCTATTTTCCTCATACTCAAAACCAGAAAGCAAATGTGCTCTCTTGGAAGCCGGAGTATACACCTGCATTGACCAAAGAAGCCCCTGCCATTGCCATATTGCCACCCGCAGTTTTTGCCACCACCTCTACCCACCTGACCCTGATGGAGGATATCCACACTGGTCAGGCCCATGACCCTTGGGCTCAGGAGTGCCTCCAGAAACCCCAGAACAGCCTGACAAGAGAGTTCACAACCCAAGACAGTCTCCTGCTTCATCACGAGCAACTCTACATGCCACCCAGACCCCTGTGAACCAAAGTGTTATGCCTGCCGGATGATTCTCTACCTGCAGGGCACTTTGGCCAGCACAAGACCACACATCTGCTGACGTGGGAGTTCTGGTGGCCCCGAGTCCACACCAATGATGCCCAGTAAGTCGGCTCCTGTGAAGTCTGCCAATGGGCCAAGTACCTCCTGGCCAAACCCTTGGGTCTCTTGCATCCCTTGGCCATGTCTTCGGGACCCTGGAACACTATTTCTCTGGACTTCATCACCAAGCTTCCCCGGTCCAAGGACCACACTTGCATCATGGTGACTGTGGACCTTTTAACCAAAATGGCCCACTTTGTGCCTTACCAAGATGGCCCACTTCGTGCCTTGCCCAAAGCTCCCCACAGCTCAAGGAACTGCCCAACTCTTCCTGCAGCATATATTCCATCTACACAGGGGCTCGCAGGTCACCCACTTCTGGCAGGCACTCCACACATGCCTGGGTACCTGGGTCCACTTATCCTCTGCCTTACCACCCGCAGTCAGATGGCCAGATGGAGTGCATTAATGCCATGTTGGAGCAGTACCTCTGCAGCTACACCAGCTACCATCAGGATGACTGGGCCACCCTGCTGCCTGTTGCTGAGCTTGCATGTAACAATGCCGTGCACTCATTCACACTGCTGACTCCATTTGCTGCAAACTACGGGTACCACCCTCGGTTCTTCCCTTCAGTCCTCCCACCCATAAACATCCCAGCAGCAGGTGCATTATTTGCAGGAACTCTGTGCTTTCCAGGACCTGCTCCGGGAACAACTGCAGCAGACCAAGAAGGCATACAAAACTACGGCTGATTGCAATCGACAGGAAGGCCCACTGCTTAAACCTGGGGATCATGTTTGGCTGTCTGCTCAGCACCTCTGGCACACCAGCCACTCTCGCAAGCTGGATGCCCACTTTATCAGGCCATTCCTGATAATGGAACAAGTCAACCCCGTTGCTTTCCGGCTCCAGTTGCCTCCTACCCTCTGTATCTACCCGGGGGGGTTGGAGAACACATTTAAAGTTGCTTTATTTCCACCTTTCCCTCCCTCCCCATTTATTTGCTTTCTTTCCACCTCTCTCTCTCTCTTTCCCCTTCCTTCTTCCCTCCCCCATCTATTTGCTTTCTTTTCACCTTTCCTTCTCTCTCTTTCTCCCTTCCTTCCTTCCTCACTCTCTCTCTCCTTCCCTTCCCCCTCACTCATCCATTTGCTTTCTTTGTTTTTCTCTCTCTCCCTCCCCCTCGCCAATCTATTTGCTTTCTTTGCTTCTATTTCTCTCTTTCTCCTTCTTTCTTTCCATCTCTTTCATTCTTTCCACCTTTTTCTTTCTCTCTTCCTTCTTTCCTTCCATCCCTGCTTATCTATTTGCTTTCTTTGTTTCTCACTCTCTTTGTTTCAACCTCTTTCATTCTTTCTTTCCAACTCTCTCTCTTTCTCTCTTAGACAAATAAATATCGTTAGCAAACAAATAAATATCATTGGACAAATAAATATCACCAACATCTGTTTTTACCCCTTTTTGTTTTTCACAGACTCATTTAATGTTAATAAAAAGCAAATTTGCATATTTTTCAGTAAAACGTGGGTAATATTTGTTCGTGTCTTGCGGCTCTCAAACATCTGATGTTTATTCTATGTGGCTCTTAATGTTAAGCAAGTTTGGCCACCCCTGCTTTAACTGGAGATGCCTGGGACTAAACTTGGGACCTCCTCCTTGCAAAACCCAGAGCCAGAACTCCTCCCATCTGTACCTAGCCTCTCACAGTGCATGGCTAAGAGCTTGAGGTGGGAAGTCCTCAAGGACTTTTGGCATTCCTTCCTCCTTGAGGCTTACCAGGCCTTTAAGTAGCAGGCCAAAACATCTCTCTTTAACAAAGTTTTCTTTTTAAAGCGGTTTTACGGTCCATTAAATATCATTTTAGGCTTTTATGCCCTGGCTTTCCTTTATTGTCTGTTTTTATTAGCATTTTTATTGACCTGGATTGTTTTATTTATATGTTTTTATTAGTATGATTTGTTTGTCTTTATTGGCTGTTTTGTTTTGTTGTTGTGTGAGCTAGCTTGAGAAGGCCTGGAAAGACTTCGTACATATTTAATCAATCAGTCGTGGATTCACTGAATAGGCTCTCTCTGTCTCTGAGGCAAGCAAGACATTACGTCTAACTTGTGGCCACCATGAGGACACCCCAGCTGCAAGTTCCTGGTAGGAACCAGCCCTGACGTGCCACAGCTGGGGCCCAATTTGGATTGGGATTGTGGTGTGGTGTGGGGGACTCCCTGTATGCTATTTTCATGAGGTGAAATGGCCTCGGGAGATGCCATTTGCCACAAATTCCTGCAGGAGCCACAAATTAGATGTAATGTTTAGTTCATCTGTTCTCTCTCTCTCATTCTGCCTGCCCGCTTTCTCCAGCCCCCTGCAATTATAGGGATAAATCTGGGTGCTTGTCAGAAATATTGAGGTCAGCCATGTGAAGAGTTCTGAATGTTGAAAATGCATCTGAGAATATGGAAATGTGCTGTTGGGCTCCTGTTTAATTGTACTACCCTTCTGGAATCAAAAATCTGAATAAATGAATGCTATTATTTATGAGACTTTCAGTGAGTTTTGCCTTTGTGCTCTGCTTTGAGCTTTCAGAGGCAGCTCAATTAACCCCAGGTCTGGCCCAGCCTGCTGTGGCTTCCCCCAGTTTAATCATCTTGTCTAAAAGCCCATTTGAGATGTTCCCAGAGCTTCCAAAACCAGGAACTATGTGACTATTTAGCTGTGTGGGAAGCTATTTGTGTGCGGTGGATCCTCTGTAGTTCAGGCAAGGTTAACCACACCAGTAAGCACCCTGCTTTTCATAGACTGTGCTGGTCACTTCTAAAGCAGGCTTCCTTTCCTTTTTTTTTTGCCCCCCCCCCCCGGAGGGGATTTTTATTGCATTTTCTATAAACTACAAACTACAATGAAAAAATAGGGAGGGAACATCTACATCTATGGAGAAAGGAAAGAAAACCACTACTAACTAAGATCCCAAGTATAGGAGATCATTACATCAGCCTATACATAGTCTAAAATGCTTACATTACATTGAACATAGTTGACTAAGCTAAATTATTTATCTTTTTAACCATTTTAACTGTTTAAAGAAAAACCCCAAGAGCATCATTTATATCACATGCTTTAAGGCACCATTCAGAGTCCTTCAGCGTTCACTTTGCTTTATCTTTCCTAATCCTCAATTGGTATTCTT